TCAAAAACCTTCGGTTCCGGAGAGATTTCAAAATTGAATTTCCAAAAAACATGTAAAAAAAACATGGTTTCGCAACACTGGTTTAAAAAATACGCGCGAGCTTTTGCGAAATCTTGATAAAACCATAGGTTTTCCAAGATTTTCACAACATGCTACCAAACGGGCTTCGCGCGCGCGCGCATGTCGAAATCTGTCGAACGCTCTTGCGCGTGTGCCGTCGCGAGAATCCTCTGCAAAAAAAAAAACGAAGTGCAGACGCGCGCGTCGTCGCGGGCGTATGCCGAAATCCTTCAAAAACCTTCGGTTTCGGAAGAATTTCGAAATCGTGCGTCCAAAAAACATACAAAAACACAAGGTTTCGCAACACGGGTTTTCAACAAAATTGTGCGCGCGCGCTCTTGCGTCGTCGTCGTCGTCGTCCTCCCTCCTCCCTCGTCGTCGTCGTCGTCGTCGCCGTCGTCGTCTTCTGTCTTTCCTCATCGTCTTTGGCGTCGTCGTCGTTTCCGTCGTCGTTGTCGCCGTGGTCGTCCTTCCTCCCTCGTTGTCTTCGTCGGCGTCTCGTCGTTGTCCCTCCTATTTCGTCGCCGTCGTCGTCGTCGTCGTCGTCGTGTCTTCACTCCTCCCTCGTCGTTATCCTCCTCCCTCGTCGTCGTCGTCCGTCGTCGGCGTCTCGTCGTCGTCCCTCCTATTTCGTCGCCGTCGTCGTCGTCTTCGTCGTCGTTGTCATCGTCGTCGTCTTCCCTCCTCCCTCTCGATGTCGTCGTCGGCGTCGCCGTCCTTCCTCCTTCTTCGTCGTTGGCGTCGTCGCCGTCTTCCCTCCTCCATCGTCGTTGTCGTCGTTGTCGCCGTCGTCGTCTCCTCCCTCGTCGTCGTCTCCGTTGGCGACGTCGTCGTCGTCTTCGTCGTCGTCGTCGGCGTCGTTGTCGTCGTCGTCGGTGTCGTCGTCGTCGTTGTCGTCGTCGAAAACATTGGAGACGTCGTCGGTGTCGTCGCAGTCGCTGTCGGCGGCGCCGTCGTCGTCGATGTCGCTGTCGTCGTCGGCATCGGTGTCGTGGCCAAGTGCCACGCAGTACCTACCGTCACGGTCTTGTCTGAAGATGTCTTGCGACCAAATTGCGGGTGGGAGGGTGGGATGTTTGCACGAGCAGTGGAGAGGACAGCTTCAAGACAGTCGAAGTGGATTGCACCACGTAGATTATACCACGTCGACTACTCAACGTAAGTTCTCCTTTCTAAACAGAGAATAGAATCTACCCCCCCCCCCAGCGTTATCCGTTCCCCTTTCGGGTCTGTAAATCATATATGACTCTGACCACATGTCCATCCGAAATATGAATTTACACTATCCCAGGGGGGCCGGTATCGTTCCCCCTGAGGTTCCCTTGTGAAAAACGATGCGCGGGGACATTTGTTGCTCTAACAGAAAACTTTGTCACGAATCCCTTGCAAAAAAAAACGGGACGAAGTGCACACGCGCGCGTCGTCGCGCGAGCGCCTGCCGAAATCCTTCAAAAACCGTCGGTGCCGGAAGGATTTCGCAATCGAGTTTCCAAAACACATACAAAAACACAAGGTTTCGCGACACTCATTTGCTAAAAAAGCTTACGCGCGAGCTCTTGCGAAAACTTAAGAAAACCATCAGGTTTTCAAGATTTCCACAAAATGCTACCAAACGGGCTTCGCGCGCGCATGTCGAAATCTGTCGAACGCCCTTGCGCGTGTGCCGTCGCGAAAATCCTTTGAAAGAAATGGGACGAAGTGCAGACGCGCGCGTCGTCGCGCGCGTATGCCGAAATCCTTCAAAACCCATCGGTTTCGGAAGAACTTCAAAAACATGTTCAAAAAACCCACAAAAACATAAGATTTCCCAACACGGATTTTCAACAAAAGCGTGCGCGCGCGCTCTTGCGTCGTCGTCGTCGTTGTCGTCGCCGTCCTCCCTCCTCCCGCGTCGTCGTCGTCGTCGCCTACGTCGTCCTCTGTCTTTCCTCGTGTTCGTCGTCGTCGTCCTTTTTGGCGTCGTCGTCGTTTCCGTCGTCGTTGTCGCCGTGGTCGTCCTCCCTCCTCCTCCCTCGTCGTCGTCGTCGTCCGTCGTCGGCGTCTCGTTGTCGTCCCTCCTATTTCGTCGCAGTCATCGTCGTCGTCGTTGTCGTCGTCTTCCCTCCTCCCTCGTCGTTGTCGTCGTCGGCGTCGCCGTCCTTCCTCCTTCTTCGTCGTTCGCGTCGTCGCCGTCCTCCCTCCTCCCCCGTCGTTGTCGTCGTTGTCGTCGTTGTCGCCGTCGTCGTCCTCCCTCCTCCCTCGTCGTCGTCTTCGTTGGCGACGTCGTAGTCTTCGTTGTCGTCGGCGTCGGCGTCGTCGTCGTCTTCGTCGTCGTCGACGTCGGCGTCGTCGTCGTCGCCGCCGTCGTCGTCGTCGTCGTCGTCGGCGTCGTTGACGTCGTCGTCGTCGTCGTCGGTGTCGTCGTTGTCGTCGTCGTCGGCGTCGTTATCGTCGTCGTCGTTGTCATCGTCGTCGTCGTCGTCGGCGTCGGCGTCGTCGTCGTCGGTGTCGTCGTCGTCGTTGTCGGCGTCGAAGTCGTTGGAGACGTCGTCGGTGTCGTCGTAGTCGTTGTCGGCGGCGTCGTCGTCGTCGTCGTTGTCGCTGTCGTCGTCGGCGTCGCTGTCGTTGCCAAGTGCCATTTGGTACCCACCGTCGTCGGCGGCGTCGCCGTCCTTCCTCCTTCTTCGTCGTTCGCGTCGTCGCCGTCCTCCCTCCTCCCCCGTCGTTGTCGTCGTCGTCGTTGTCGCCGTCGTCGTCCTCCCTCCTCCCTCGTCGTCGTCTTCGTTGGCGACGTCGTAGTCTTCGTTGTCGTCGGCGTCGGCGTCGTCGTCGTCTTCGTCGTCGTCGACGTCGGCGTCGTCGTCGTCGCCGCCGTCGTCGTCGTCGTCGTCGGCGTCGTTGACGTCGTCGTCGTCGTCGGTGTCGTCGTTGTCGTCGTCGTCGGCGTCGTCATCGTCGTCGTCGTTGTCATCGTCGTCGTCGTCGTCGGCGTCGGCGTCGTCGTCGTCGTTGTCGGCGTCGAAGTCGTTGGAGACGTCGTTGGTGTCGTCGTAGTCGTTGTCGGCGGCGTCGTCGTCGTTGTCGCTGTCGTCGTCGGCGTCGCTGTCGTTGGCAAGTGCCATTTGGTACCCACCGTCACGGTCTTAAGAGATTTTGCAAACCAAGTTGCGGTTGGATGGGTGGGATGTTTGCGCGAACAGTGGAGTGTACAACTCACTGCGAACAGAAATTAATTTTCCTTTCTAAAAGACTAATAGATTCTACCCCCCCCCCCCCCCCCCCCCCCCCCCCCCCGGACTTATCGGTTCCCCCGCGCGTGCTGTAAATTACATACGATTCTGACCACGTGTCCATCCTAAAAATGAATTCATACCATCCCAGCCAAGCCGGGTTCCCCCCCCCTGCGGTTCCCTTGAAAAAAACACTATGCGGTGACATGTTTTGTTCTAACAGAGCACTTGTTCACGAATCCCTTGCAAAAAATGGGACGAAGTGCACACGCGCGCGTCGTGGCGCGCGCATGCCGAAATCCTTCAAAAACCTTCGGTTCCGGAGAGATTTCAAAATTGAATTTCCAAAAAACATATTAAAACACATGGTTTCGCAACACTGATTCAAAAAAAAACTTACGCGCGAGCTCTTGCGAAATCTTAAGAAAACCATAGATTTCCAAGATTTTCACAAAATGCTACCAAACGGGCTTCGCGCGCGCGCAGGTCGAAATCTGTCGAACGCTCTTGCGCGTGTGCCGTCGCGAGAATCCTCTGCAAAAAATAAGACGAAGTGCAGACGCGCGCGTCGTCGCGGGCGTAGGTATGCCGAAATCCTTCAAAAACATTCGGTTTCGGAAGAATTTCGAAATCGTGCGTCCAAAAAACATACAAAAACGCAAGGTTTCGCAACACGGGTTTTCAACAAAATTGTGCGCGCGCGCTCTTGCGTCGTCGTCGTCGTCGTCGTCCTCCCTCCTCCCTCGTCGTCGTCGTCGTCGTCGTCGCCGTCGTCGTCTTCTGTCTTTCCTCGTCGTCTTTGGCGTCGTCGTCGTTTCCGTCGTCGTTGTCGCCGTGGTCGTCCTTCCTCCCTCGTTGTCTTCGTCGGCGTCTCGTCGTTGTCCCTCCTATTTCGTCGCCGTCGTCGTCGTCGTCGTCGTCGTCGTCGTCTTCACTCCTCCCTCGTCGTTATCCTCCTCCCTCGTCGTCGTCGTCCGTCGTCGGCGTCTCGTCGTCGTCCCTCCTATTTCGTCGCCGTCGTCGTCGTCTTCGTCGTCGTTGTCATCGTCGTCGTCTTCCCTCCTCCCTCGTCGTTGTCGTCGTCGGCGTCGCCGTCCTTCCTCCTTCTTCGTCGTTGGCGTCGTCGCCGTCTTCCCTCCTCCATCGTCGTTGTCGTCGTTGTCGCCGTCGTCGTTTTTTCTCCTCCCTCGTCGTCGTCTCCGTTGGCGACGTCGTCGTCGTCTTCGTCGTCGTCGTCGGCGTCGTTGTCGTCGTCGTCGGTGTCGTCGTCGTCGTTGTCGTCGTCGAAAACATTGGAGACGTCGTCGGTGTCGTCGCAGTCGCTGTCGGCGGCGCCGTCGTCGTCGATGTCGCTGTCGTCGTCGGCATCGGTGTCGTGGCCAAGTGCCACGCAGTACCTACCGTCACGGTCTTGTCTGAAGATGTCTTGCGACCAAGTTGCGGGTGGGAGGGTGGGATGTTTGCACGAGCAGTGGAGAGGACAGCTTCAAGACAGTCGAAGTGGATTTCGCACCACATAGATTGCACCACCTGGATTACTAGAAAGACACTGTTTGGGGTCGGCGCTGGCTACATAACAGATTGAACAAAATCTTGTACTATATCGTTTCCCGCGCGGCATTGCCAGAAAGTGCCCGCGACGGAGTTCATACTAGAAGATGTCCGACCGTGCTCGTCGCCCTTACGTGGCCGACGCACATCTAGTATGGGTATGTTTGGGCGGTGCCGATCCTTCATGAGGGAGTTGACTGTGTCGAAGGCCTCTGCGGGTGTGACGCAAGCGGGCCGTCCAGACGACCTGGGTGCAGGTCTTGTCCCCTACGAGGCGGTAGTGGGCGTCTTCCCTTCCTACATGGCCTCCCTCCTGACCTTTATTTCCTCGCCGCCATCCTGCCTTGAGCAACGGGCGCCGTCCCTCCATCCTCCCTGCAGCCTCCCTCGTGCCTGCAGAGGCCTCCTGTCGGAGGCCTCGGCGCCGAACCCCCGCCTCCTCTCGTGGGGAGAAAAGCCACGAAGGGAGGACTTTGCCAACGTTTGGCATCCGGGGTCCCGCACTGAGCCTCGGGGACGTTAAAAACGGCCTGGGATGAGGAACGGGCCCCGGAGAAGGGGTCCAGACATCTGGGGTCGCCCATATGGGAAAAGTGACGAAGTCGGAGTTCTGGGAAGACCCTGTGCACCACCACCACCATGACAGGCCAGGGCCAACCTAGGCCCTGACATAGCGGGTACGCCCGCCTGGCTGGGGCCAGGAGGGTCTGTACACCATCCTGGGGTCCAAGGTAGCCCTGGCCAGGCGTTGCGGTGGTGTACAGGAGCCTTCTGCGGAGCCTCGTCCAGCATCCCCTGGTCCATGTACTCGGTGTAGTGGTGCACGTGCGCCTTGCGGCTGTACAGCCTCGAGAAGCTGCGGAGGCTCTGGCCGAACATGTGGTGCGCGGCGCAGGAGTTCGCCAGGCCAAGCACCGAGTAGGGCAAGCCCCGTGGCGGGACGGCGCACAGCCCAATCTTGAATGCGTCCTCGTTGTATGGCAACATCTTCAGCTGCTTGCGCACGCGGGTAACGTTGCGGTTGACGTCGGCAATCGACGCGGAGCCCCTGACCAGGAAGGCCATGGCGGCGTAGGTGCTACCTCTCGGGTCAATGTTCATCAGCTGGTGCTTGTTTGTGAGCGTGTCCGCGAAGGTCTGCTGGAACCCGCGGGACACCAGGCGGGGGTCCCTGCCGAAGCAGAGCGGGCTCATGGACGAGAGGAGGAAGTGCATGCGGGGGAAGGGCACCAGGTTCATCGTGATCTCGTTCAGGTCCAGGTTGAGGGACCCCTCGAAGCGCATCGAGCTCGTGAGGTTGTTCAGCAGGTGCGCCACCAACGAGTTCATGCGGTCGTACGGGCGCTCCGCCCCGAGCGTCGGCGCCGCGCTGCGGGAGGCCGGCCCCCGCGCCTGGTGGCCCGCGGCCCTGCCGGCGGGCGACCCGCAGGCCGCGGCCGGCTCGGCCGCCTTCGCGGGCGGCGCCGAGTGCGCCGTGCGGCGGCCGCCGGGGCCCCGCGAGCCGTCGCGGCGAGGCCGCGCCGCCGCCGCGCCCGGCCGCTCTGCGGGTGCGGCGCCGTCGCCGGGGCAGCGCAGCGGCGCCGCGGCGGCGGCGCGGCGCGGCTCCGAGTCCTGCGGCAGGTCGATGAGGGACGCCTGGCCGCCGGGCCTCCCGCCGTCGTGCGCGGAGATCTGGTTGCAGATGCCGACCAGCGCGTCGTTCGACACGGGCAGCACGCAGTGCGCGGAGTTGATGAGGCAACGCAGGGCCAGCGTTGCGTTGTAGGGCGACGTGATCACATCGTCGTCCTTGGATGGGCAGACGCACGACACGAAGCGGAAGACCTCTTGGGGAACCAAACGAGATGCCGACACCGATGCCCCCAAAGACCTCTCCGAGGGTGCGCTCTGACAAGATTTTCGAGGCGATTCCAGCCGTGGCGACGAGGGCCTCCAAGGAGGCCCAAAAAAGGAGAAGACGAGGAGATGGCAGCGGCATCGCTACCTCTTGCTCCTCTGACCTCCGGGTACAGCTCCTCCAGCGTCTCCAGGAAGAACGTGCCGAGCCCGCTGCCCGTGCCTCCCCCCAGCGAGTGGACCAGCAGGAAGCACTGCAGGGAGTCGCAGTGCTCGGCCTGCTGCCGCACCCTCTCCTCGATCGTGTCGCGGTACATCGGCCCGTAGTGGCAGTGGCCGTGCGACCAGTTGTTGCCGGAGCCGGAGACGTCCGTGATGCACTGGCGCGCCTCCAGAAGAAGAAACGCCTGCACAAACATAAACTGTCGAGGGTCTGGGTGCCGCCAGCGGGGGTCAAGCGCCGATCCAAGAAGTCCGCTGGAAACCTCGGCGGTTTGTGCTTGTGCCGTTTTCTCTTCGCCGAGCCTCGAACAAGTCCGCGAGCGGGCCCGACAGAAGCGAGTTCACGACCCCCTGCTCCATGTCAACCAGGATGGACCTCGCCCGCAGGGTGCGGATGGGCCCGCGGCCGTCGCCGGCGGGTATGTCGGGGGGGTCCGCGTGCCGGGAGTCGACGTTCCTGAAGAAGGATGACAGCGCAGCGTCGAAGAGCGCCACCTGCAGAAGAGGAGAGGGCGGGGGATGGACCGAGGACGGGAGGCGGGAGAGAAAGAAGAATGTGGGAACACGGCAGATTCGTGTCGTGACGACCCTGGCGTTGGTTTCTGACACCGCGTGCGATCGGCGGTTTTTCGATCGCCAGATCGTCCCATATTGGCCGATTCTGGGAGACTGGCGGCTTTCAAGCTTGAACACCCGCGGCGGGGTCCTCCTCTTTCTCCTGCTCATCGGCCTTCTCCTCCTCCTCCTCCTCCTCCTCCTCCTCCTCCTCCTCCTCCTCCTCCTCCTCCTCCTCCTCCAGCTCCTCCTCCTCCTCCTCCTCCTCTCCTCCCTCCTCCTCCCCTCCTCCTCCTCCTCCTCCTCCTCTTCCTCTTCCCCCCCTCATCATCATCATCATCATCATCATCATCATCATCATCATCATCATCATCATCATCATCATCATCATCATCATCATCATCATCATCATCATCATCATCATCATCATCATCATCATCATCATCATCATCATCATCATCATCATCATCATCATCATCATCATCATCATCATCATCATCATCATCATCATCATCATCATCATCATCATCATCATCATCATCATCATCATCATCATCATCATCATCATCATCGTCATCGTCATCGTCATCGTGATCGTCATCGTCATCATCATGATGATGATCATCATCATCATTATCATCATCATCATCATCATCATCATCATCATCATCATCATCATCATCATCATCATCATCATCATCATCATCATCAGCATCATCATCATCAACAACACCACCACCACCACCATCATCATCATCATCATCATCGTCATCGTCATCGTCATCGTCATCGTCATCATCATGATGATCATCATCATCATCATTATCATCATCATCATCATCATCATCATCATCATCATAAGCATCATCATCATCATTATCATCTTCTTCATCATCATCATCATCATCATCATCATCATCATCATCATCATCATCCCCAGCGTCATCCTCATCCTCATCCTCCTCCTGCTCGTCCTCCTCCTCGTCCTCGTCCTCCTCCTCCTCCCTCGTCCTCCTCCTCCTCCTCCTCCTTCTCCTCCCTCCTTCTCCTCCTCGCCCTCCTTTCACCCTGCCCCCAACACAAAGGAAAGCCGACCACCTTGGAGACGTGAGCGTGTTCCCGCAGCACCAGGTCCCAGAACCGGCCCCCAACCTGGACCGCGCGCCGTCCCTCTGCCCAGTAAGCAGTTATCCCCCTCCTCGTCCTCCTCCCCCTCCTCCTCCTCTCCTCTTCCTCCTTTTCCTCATCTTCCTTCTCCTCCTCCTCCTCCTCCTCCTCCTCCTCCTCCTCCTCCTCCTCCTCCTCCTCTCCTCCTCCTCCTCCTCCTCCTCTTCCGCCTCCTCGTCCTCGCCATCATCAGCAGCGGCGCCATCCTCATCATCATCAGCAGCAGCAGCATCACCATCATCATCATCACCATCATCAGCATCATCATCAGCATCATCATCATCATCATCATCATCATCATCATCATCATCATCATCATCATCATCCTCATCATCAGCATCATCACCACCATCACCATCACCATCACCATCACCATCACCATCACCATCACCATCACCACAATCATCATCATCACCACCACGACCAGCATCATCATCATCAGCAGCATCATTATTATCATCACCATCATCATCAGATGCATCCTCTTCATCCCCCGCATCATCATGAAAAACCATCATCATCTGAACATCATCACCATCATCGTCATCAGCATCATTGCCCGAATCATGAGCATCACATGGCGTCGAAGCGCATGCTTGGGGACTCCTTGCATAACGGCTTGAAGCCACCCCAAGTGTACGCGACGCAAGAAATGCAAAAAAGAACCACGGAATTGCGGACTAGCCGACGCCCGTCGCTTCCAAGCACAGCCGCCTGCATGACAGCATGTCGCGTGAGCCCCATCAGGGCATCCAGGTCGACCTCCACGTCGGACGACAAGGCAAAAAACCTGCCGCACCGCTTTGCAGCTTTGGAAGGAGGTCAGCAGCTGCTGGAAGATTTGCACGCTTGGCCGCGAATATAAAAAAACCTGTGCGGAGTCGGCGCCTGCATTGGTGTCGGTGTCAGCGTTGGCGTTCGCGCTGGCGTCGGTTCCGACGTAGGCGCTGGCGATGGTGATGGAGTCGGCGCTGGCGCGGGCGCTGGCGTTGGCGCAGGCGTCGCGGGCCCGGTCGCTGATGCTGGCGATGGTGTTGGTGATGTCGAAGCCACCACATGTGCCGGGCTGGGGCTGGCGCTATATCGCTGGCTTTTGCAAGGAAGTCGGAGGGATGAGATGGCGGATACCTGATGGGCCGGCACGCCGATAAACCTGCTGCGTCCCAGAGTCGGCAATTCAAGCGCGCACAGCACCTCGGGAATCCAAGCGGGTAACCGTTACACCGCCTCGCGCTGCAATTGGCGTCTTGGCGTACCTCGCCAGAGGGTGTGACGGGCGGCTCGCGCCAGAGGGTGCGAGGCTGCTCATGGTCGTGGTCGTGGAGGGCGTTCATGGTCGTGGTGCTGTTTCTGGTCTAGGTCGCGGTGTTTGTGCTTGGTCGCATTGGCTGTTCTTGGTCGCTGTGGCTGTTACTCTTCGTGGTCGTGGTTTAGTGGTTGTGTCTGGTCGTGGTCGTGGTGGATGTGTTTTGTCGTGGTGGCCGTTTCTGGTCACGGTGGCTGTTTCTGGTCGTGGTGTCTGCTTCTTGTCATGGACGTGGTGGCTGTTCGTGGCCGTGGTTGGCGCAACCCTGCATCGCGTGCCCCTCCATGTGTCACGGAATGCCCCCTTCCTGGGTGGACGCCGGCGCGTCGCCGTGCTGGTCGCGGACGCGGTCGCGATGGTTGTTGCTAGCTCCGCTGCTGTTCCCAGTCGTTTTGTTGCGTCGGCGTCGGTCCGTAGGATGAGGTCGCAGTGGAAAGCCGACTGCAGGAGATCGAATATCGATGCGCCGAGGTGGTGCGTGCTGGACGCCGACGTGCGGAGGTGGCGGGGCGCGGTCGGATGCTTGCTGCTGGATGTCGGAGTGCTGGGCCGGTGGGAATCGAAGCGCAAAATGCTTGATTTTGCACGTCGGAATGCCAAAATGGAGGCAGGAGCGCTGTGCTGGCAAGGGCTGGTCGGCAATAGGGGGAGGTGGAGGTGTAAAGTCGGCCGCTGGAGGTTGGAGGCCGGAGTGCTGAACTCACGGTGGTAGGAGGACGTCGGGTGGAAGTGCGTGTGGAAAATCGGCCGCTACAGGTCGAATGTCGTGCTGGAGGTCGACGCGCGTAGGTGGGCGAGGGCGATCGAATGCTGAACGCTGGAGGTCATAGGCCTGAACTGACGGTGGTCGGAATGCTGGGTGCTGGAAGCTGGGGGTCGGAATGCTGAGCTGGTTGTCGAAGCTCGGAGTGCGGAGCTGGCGCGCGCGCGGACGCTGACGCTGGCGGCGGCGTGGGCTGGCGCAGGCGCGGCGCTGGGTGTTGAACTGGCGTAGGCGCGGGCGCTGGAGGAGTAAAGAGGGATCTGGGCCGTTGGAGGCAGCAGTCGGATGTCGGTGAGCAGAAGTGGAAGTTGGAAGTCGGGCGGTTTGATGCTGGCGGCCAGGTTGTGGTAAGAGCCACCGCAAATCGCATGCTACATCCTCCTCCCCCGCCGCCCATGTGCCCCGTCGGACCGTCGGCGTACCAGCACCGAGGGGAATCGGCAAACCTTCCGAAGCCGCGCATCATCTCTGGTAGCCTCGTGGAGTAGCTGGTTCCTGATCTCCTTCGCGAAGGCAGCCCGCTGCTCCAATGTGACAAAACTTCGTCGTCGTAAGTTGTTGACTGTCATGTACAAAATTGTAGACTGATTGGCGCTGTAGTTGCTCATCTGTCATAGAATTTGCAAGCACGCCGCAAGCCATAATCGGTCTGGCGTCTGTTCTGCACAGTCGGCCCTGCGACCACGCTCGACCCACGGAGCAACGAACGCAGTGCTCAATCGAGTCGTCGGCCGCGCATGAACAAACGAGCACACAGGTCCGGCGCGCACGCCGCAGCGACCGCATTCCTCGGCCCATTGTCCACCGATTGAAGATCGCACTCATCATCGCTGCCCTAATCCTGGGAGGTGCCAATCTACGAACCCTCTGCAGGTTTTGCACCACCCTGCGGGCCGCGCGGCCCGGAAACTCTGTCAACCTCCATCTCTCCGCCAGTATCCTCTGGAGCCTCTACTCCACGCTGTCTCCATCACGCGTCAAGAGCCGGGCTACGAACTATTTTTGCGTAATTCTCTAAACCTCCGATCGCCCGCTTCCGCAAGTGGCCCCTCTCTGTCGTTGCTGATGGCGGCGCGTGCTGCGTCTGTATGTATACCGTCGCGAGCCTGCTCCGTAACGATCGCCAGAACAACCGTGAGGATGTGGGAGTCAAGCCATCTGCGCCACCGCGCAGCGCGGATCAGATGGTCAGTCCTGGCCCGCGCCGTCGCGAACTCCCAAGCAATCCTGACCCAGTCCACACCGCCGCCCCCTCTAGATCCCCAGGCGTGCGCGCGCAGAATCGCAGCTTTGCAAGCAGCCCCCAGCGGCCGAAGGTGGGAAGCCAGCCCGGGCACTTCCCCGCGGCGAAAGTCAGCAGGGCAACACCAGGCCCTGGCCCAGGAGCCACCCGTCGAACTGCAACGCGTTCCTTTCCGAGGACCTCATGCGTCGGGGCCTCCAGTTGGGCGACGAAAAGCAGCGCGTGTAGCGCATGCATGTTGTAGACAACCAAAACCATGGTCAAGCCGAGCTCACTCCATCGCCAGTCGCGCAATCGGTCGACGCACTTCGCCACCAGCTTTGTCCATGAATTGTCCTCCTTGCCCGGGCCGATGCAATACCCCGGATATTTCCCACGGCTTGCCCATGTGATCTGCAACGCCTCGGAGTTGGCTTTGGCAGTTGCTTGGAGTCCGTCGACGCCCGCCCCCCACAGATATCACAACGATTTTGCCACGATTGAGCGCAAGATTCGAAACTGCTTCGAACACGCGGAAGGTCGCGAACACACGCTTGTGTTATTCCCGCCACGAGCGCAATGCCATGGTGGTATCATCCACACACGCCCTGGTCGTCGATGTCGGCACTCGAAGCCACAAGATTCGCAGCAAGCTGTCCGATCCCAAAGCAAAGAGCAGCGGCGACAGTGGACACCCCTGCTGGATGCCGGCCCCCAGAGGCACCCGGTCGCGAAGCTGCCCGTGCGACATGAGCACCCCGACCGTCGAGAACACTTGCATTGCTCCGTCGGGGAAGCCTGCCGCTCGCGCCACGGCCAGCATGCACTGTTGAGACACCGACGGGAAGGCCACCGCAAAGTCGAACAAGACCACTGCCGCATCGTCCTGCTGCAAACCAGCGAGACCAGCCGCGTGCTCGATATCCACGATATTCGCTTGCATTGATCTTCCTGGGATGAACCCGCGCTACTACTTGGCGATTCCTGGCGCGACAATGGGCCCCCAACGCAGGCGGCGCGCGTTGGCGATAACTCGGCTGTGAGAGTTGGCAATGGACAGCGGGCGCGTGCCACTAGGTCGGAAGACGCGGCCTCCTCGGGCATCCGATCTCGCTGGTTGCTTTGGCAGACAGGAAAGGAGAGACTCGTTGAAAGCACCGTGGGCAGCGTCTCCCGCGATTACTCCAGTCTCCAGTTGCCGGCCTGCCCCCCAAAGAACATGGGCCCCAAGTCGTTCTAAGCTGCGCCAAACATGGAAGGGCGCCCCGCCAGGGCCAGGGCGCGAATTGCCCGCGATCCGCAAATCCTTCTCCATGCATGTGGACCTGAGCCTCCAGCGAGGGTCAGGAATAGCGACGCGTTGACTGCCGGCGCGGCTGGCCAGCTCCAGCCACGCGTCGAGCTTGGCCTCGCCCACGGGCTTGTGACATAAAACACGTGCCCAGTGCGCTGCCAGTTGCTCTGCGATTGCTCGCATGTCTGCAACGACCTCACCGTCATCGGCATCCAGGAAGTGGATCCCCGCACTCACGGAGCTACGTGTGAGACGCGCCAGGCGCTGGTTGATGGAGTTTTGTTGGGTGCGTCGCTGGTGCTCGTCGTCGTCGGCCCTGCTGGTGTCGTTCTGCGCATTGCGCATGTCTGACAAAACCTCCGTCTTGGCCATCGTAATGGCCTTGTCATTGAGGCGTCGC